TCGTTATGTAAGAACATCGTACCAAACCTTTCTGTGAGGTCTGAATATATATTATCAAATCTTTCAGCACTCAGTCAATGTGTTCTTTATGCACCTATTGTATACGAAGAGAAGAGTGACTCGATAACTAATTTTATTGTTAAAGAGATATTAATGAAAAATTATCATAAAGCAGTTCCAGGAGATGATGTTGAATGGGTAGAAGATCATGTAATTGACGATGAATGTAAGGCAAAGGTAAATAAATCCCTAGCAACTGATAAAAAAATTTGAGGAATTAAATATGGCATCAAACTGAAAAGGTTTATATATATAGATAATGGGATTAAAAGTACTGGTGAACCGTTTACTGACAGTTTCTGATAGAGAGGTAGCAGTCGAGTTGGCTAAACCTATTTTTAAATTATTTTGGAATTTAATAAGGGAAGGCGGTGAATTACTTGGTGATAAATCAACAAGGTATAATATTAAATATGTATAATATTTATAATTACACATGTTTATATACAATTTGTATTGACTGTTCTAAACATTGTTTAAAGACCTTCATTTCGGAGTAGATTAAGATTGGCAGCTGTTCACAATTTATTGAAGCTGGCACATAAAAAAATATATAATTCAATGATATCTGTTGGAGAATTTCAAGAATTGGCATTCATGATACAAGTTAGTAGTTTTTTTTTCTCATCCAAAAAATCTTTACTTTATATATATACACCTAACCTTATATTTATTAATGTTTAGGATCCTTGTTACCAAGTGAGATTTGGATTTGCTTCAAGGCTTGTTAAATATTGTGCAAGTTATCTTCTACATGCACGATTCTTGTCTATATTTTTTTTAACTGCACATGATCCTGCGCACGAAATTCGTGATATGGTAAATTTAATAATAATGCTAATAAATTTAAAATTATATTAAAGATATTAATATTAAGTTCAACTAATAGATGTGAATTTTAAATTATACTGCACATATACAATAGGTTAAAGTTTTTTTGACAAGACAATCTCGTGCAACTGGGTCGATCCGTAAGTATTTACTAATTAATCACTCTCAAGTTTAATTTTCTTAACAATAATATTTTTATATCTTTATTCTTTATTGAAGGTGATAAGAATCTGTTGTTTGAGATGTCTTTAGTTAGATTGATTCATCTCCTTTCCCATCATCCTGATTTTTCGCACGAATTAAATGTCCTTTCTGAATTCATAGTGTAAGTAAATCATTATTTATAATCAATAATTTGCAACATATGCACATTTTGAATTATGATATTAAATATAATTATTTCATTTCGTTTGAAAGTTATATAGATTTTTTCTTAAATACAATTGCAGATTCGGAGAATATTTCATATTTGTTTTGTCTTGCAGGAAAATTAAAACAAGTTCGCGATAAACAATCATTAGAACAGAGCGAGGTACGAATAAATCTTATTCTTTGAAAAGAGATTAAAGAAACAGAAAATGGGTTTAATAATAAATTTTTTTGTTATAGAATTTATATTTATTGAGTGATTTGACTCAACATCTAATAAGAGCCAAATGTAAATCTTTTTCTTGGCCATTAACTGATTTTCCTGGAGACGTCAATTTACCTAATGATTTATTTAGCAAACTATCAAATCCCGAGATTATATCACAGGTTAGTAGTATTTTTTAACGATGATTACGATATAGATAATAGTTAACGAATTGGTGATTTTCTACAAGATTACAACAAAAAACTATATCCCAAATGAATTTATGAAAACATTTGAAAAAAAACATGGATCCACACATAATAAAAATGACAAGGTATGATGATTTTATATGTGCTGTTATAAATTATATATAATGATGTATAATGATATTTATTCTGTAATTTCCTTAGTCCAAATCGGCAAAAAAAACGAGGCTGACAAAATCGTAAATATAAAATTCTGTGCTTATATTCTCTTTTCCTCCAAAAGATGGTGATAACGTATCACATCATCATAAATAAAAAATTACACTATTACTATATATTTGTGCACACATACAAAATACATTATCTGTGATTGAGATTTGCCAAAAAAACCAAAATCAAAAAATTTATTCGGTTATTGTTATTTAGGCGCTAAATCTACCAACACTGATAGACCATATTTAGATAATTCTTGGGAAAAATGACCGAAATGAATGAATTCCCATTTATTGATTGATAATAAATAATAATAATTTAACAATTATAGTAAATAATAATAGTCTGGAAATTGTTATAATTTTGGTTACTTTTTTGCTGACAAGAATGTTGTGCAATTAATTAATACATATTTCCATATATTAATTAGTACCGTCATTATTAATATTGTTATTGTTGTTATTATTATTATTGCTCTAGTTAATAAATTCATTCACCTTTACAATTTTTGATAAACGATTTACCAAAAAAATTAAATTTTCTCACATTAAATAAAAACCTTATCGATAAATTCTAAATTTTACCTAATAATGAAAACTCCGAGTCAAATTGAGTTACCTAATTTGAATTTCAAAAAACAATGGGAAAAACTGGTATTAAACGTAAAGCCACAAACAGCTAGACGCCACAAATATTTGTGATTGTGATAACAGAAGCAAATAAAGCAATATTTGCTAATTAACTCATTCCTAATTCCTTCTACTTGGCATTCGCGGAAGCAGGATTGTTAGAAGATCCCAAAATTAGGAAAAATCAACTCTGGAACTTTACGATAACAATTCTTGGTAGTTGATGATTTTGTTTTCTTTCCTCTATCATTTTCCTTGAATCATTTTCAGTTCGTGAAAAGTTTGGCACTTTCGCCGCAATTGATTTGTTGAACACGTTCTTTAGTAATATCCATCAACAACAACACATCATTATGTTTCATTTTTCTACTTAAAAATTTATTTTTTTAAATTTTTTTTATTATGACGTCCAGATTCTTTGTCCAGGAAGTATATACATATATATATCAGTGAAAAAAGATACCTTTTTATTAGAATTGGCAAATAAAACTTGAAGATTCTATTAACAAAATAAAAATAGATTGTTATTTTGCACACAATTATTTACGTATTAAACATTAGCAAATTATGGGTGATTTTCTTGCCCGGTGCATGTCAAGGATGGCAAAAGGGTTGGTGGCGTAATGCCTCTCGAAATAACACCCTATCACAATCACAACAAAAAGACAAAACAAAAATAGAAAATCTTGTCAACAAAGCAAAAACAAAACTGAAGAGAAAAAATTAAACCTTATTGAATTTATACATTGGTTACCCCGATTATGGTTAGACTAATTCGACGTATTAGGGTAGAAAATGTCTCAGCTGAAGAGGGTGACAGTTGTTCAATGCATTTTAATGCATCTTTCTAAGAAAATTGAATGGATGTGAGAACATATAACATATGAATTATAATATATACGCCCTATATATGTAAATGATTGTGACAAACCGCAGATTTTTTCACAGTTTTATAATCTGAGGTAGGATTCATACAACCTCTTATCAATTTGTAAATACGACTGTTATTCAATTTTGGGAACGATGAAAGATGGTTTACCGATTTCAATGGATCTGGAAGTTTTCCTAATTATATAAATAATTGTTTATCAAATAATTAGTAGATCTTTTATTTAAAATTGTTTATATATATAAATTATTAAATCATTACAAAAAAAAATATCACCTGCAATTCGATTAATTGTTTGATTCAACATATCATCTGCTTTATCTGCATCACCATCTACCTCAACGTCCTTGAAATAACAAATTTTTTTTTAATTCCAAGTTTTTTAAATAAAAAATAGGCTAATTCAATAAACAAAATAAAGTACCATAGAATTTTCACACAAGTTTAAATATATTTCCATATCATTAATTGTTCTAAAACATTACCACAAGTATAATGAAGAAAAGAATGTATAGTTATATAACTTAATGATGATTGATAATATGAATAACAATTATCATCATTATAATAATGATAATATTAAAGACACTAGATGATGATTTATAATAGTAACAAACTCACTCTTTTTGTCTTTGAAGAATTGAAAAAAAAGCTTTCTTTGCCTTTGCCTCAAGTGAACCAAAAACAACAAGAAGTCGATCCATTCTGGTTGATTCCACATTATTAGATGCCAATATCTCTTCATGCAAAACATTTTCTACAGATGCACTAGATTAATCAAAATAATATTAAAAAAAACCTTGTATTTTGATAAAAAGTATTGAAATAATTAATAATTCTAACATAATCTCATTGTCATTTGTATATATAGTATTCAATAATTCTGAAGGAATCCATCCAAATTTTTCAGGTGCATTAGCTTCATTATCAAGACTAACAATTAAATTATATGTGTTGTATTATGTTAATAAATTCACAATTTTTATATTACAAAACACACCCTTCTTCACTGTGTATTTAACTTACATTTCCAAATATGCCATGTTATATAAACGGGCCAAAGCCTTTATAGCTTCTTGTCTGACACCATGCTTTTTTTAATGTATATATCAATTTAGCATTTATATAAAATAAAAATTCAATGAATATTATTATTAGTTACTATTAGGTGATTAATTACTTTACGATCGCGACAGCGTTTAGCAAGTTCGATAAATAAATCTTTTTTTGACATGTTTTGAAGCACATTCATATTCTAATTGACAAAAAACTCTACAAACAGCTATTCGAACTTTATCATCAGGATCTGATAATTTGGTAATAATCGCCTCTGATTTATTTTTTTAAAAAAAAAATTTAATAAACAATAATATCTTATCTAATATTTAACCAAAATTATTAAAGCGAAATAATTACCATTAATTTGATCCGCTAATTCATGATGATTGGTGTATAATGGCAAACAAAATTCTACCCATGTACACCTAACATCAGCCACCTTGTCATTCCGCCTTTTAAGTAATGAAACTATTATGTAAGTATTTCTTTAATAATGATAATAATGAATTATTTTTAACAATGCTATATATATGTATGCATAAACGTATGTGGAAACCTTAATAGCCACGTTCTCCATACACTGTCATATCTACTAGCCAAAGTGGAATCTTTCTCTGAAAACATTTCGCCAAGTACTTGTGTTGCAAGCATTCTCAAATTTAAGTCATCAAGCTAATAATAAAATATTATGGTGAAATGAAATTTTGAAAAATTAAAAAAACAATAAAAAATAATTAAATTTACTTTTAACTCTTCTTCCAGTTGCGGTATCACATTAAGTAATAAACCAGGAGCCACTCTATTTAATTCCTTGATAAGATCATGTGCAGTTTTAAAATCATTCAATTCATCAGCTGATGTCCCCGTCTTTTCTGCTGCTACAATCACATCTGTAAAATACTAAAAATCAAAATAAATTTATTAAATTTATTAAAATAAAAATCCTAACACGAATGAATTAAAACAGATCAAACAGATATTATGAATTTTAAAGTACTTGACAAACATATCGTTGAAGTTTATCAGTTGCTGCCCTACAAACATCACATGCTAATCTATATGCTGTTGGGTTTTCATCCTAAATATATATTATATTATTATTTTAACAACTTGAAATAGTTTATTAAATAATCAATTCCAAAACCCAAACCTTTCTTTTTCTTAAAAATTGTGCCAGAATAATGTCAATCACATCCTGAGGTAGAGCATTACCGTCATTGATTAATTGTTCAAGAATATCTACCATATGCGAATAAACTATATTTGACAATTCTGGTCTAAATCAAAACAAAAAAAAAAAAGAAATGATTTAATAATTGCAAGAAAGAATGAAGCAAGGATCAAAATATCTGATAGAATACCACATCAAATAATTCAACTAATATTTTTTCTTCCTTACCTAACAACGTCAAAAAAATTACGAAATAACTCAATTAAAATTTCTTCATAATCTTGTAATTCAAGAATTAATAAAACAATTTTTACTGTTGACAAATTTTCCAGTAAATGGAAATATAAATCAAAATATGGACCATCTATTTTTCCAATATTTTGAAGTTGTTGGACAAAAAATACAAAAATTTCCTTTATTTATTAAAAAACTAACCAATTAATATATAAATATATATAATGAATCAAACACATATAAATTAAATTAATCAAACTTACTCTCAATTCGTGATCTGTGTAAGGAGCATCAGGAGCATAAAGTCTCAATAAATCAGAAATACAACATGCTACATAGGCCTTTATTCCATTATCTTTATGCCCCATCAAACTTTTATTTATAAGATCATGAGTTATACTTTTTAATGAATTTTGGTCAACCTCTTCTTGTTCCATTGTAGATAATTCTCCAAATAAACTCTACAGTCACGTAAATATATGAATACGAATATGAATATATGAGATAGTGGTTTTTAAGTATGCAAATGAAATGACTTGTGTAAAATCACAATTATAAAAAAAACAATTACTTTTAATCGTTTTAGTAATTCTGATGTTGAAAGAGGTTTTGATGTCGCTACAAGTTTTAGTTTGAATTTAAGAGAGGAAGATCGTGTCATTTCTCCAGTATTTTTAGACATGTTGGCGTCTTTTGTCTTTTATATTTCTTTGATAATCAAATACTGTAAATACTATATAAAACTTTTAACTTATATGTTAATTTTATTCCTCTACTTGTGAATTTATTTTATTGATTTTTTTTTTTAGTTTTTTAATCTTAATATTAATTATAATTGTGATCTACGCATTTTTTCCAGGGGTTTCAATATCAATATTTAATATATTAGTATTAGTGTTAGTCGTACGTAAAGATGTTCCAGTGCGCATGTCACGCGCATCGTGCGCACGTAATTTTTTGGAATCACGCCTTTTTTTCGTATAAATTTTTCGTTATACGCATTGATTGATTAAATATCGAAAAACTATATATATGTAAAAATCAAATTTATTGTTTATTCATGAACAAAATGATTGATATAATTAATAATAATAAAATGATGATAAACTGTGATCTGAATCATTCTTGCCTTTCTGTTGTTAGCTGATGTTAGAAAGTTGTTATTAAACTTGTTGAACTTGCTCAAGGATGGCGAACAAAAACAAAGTTGTTATTATTCATTATATAAAAAATATATTTTGTTATTGTTAGTAGATAGACATCTATAATTTTTTTTGGTCCAAGCATATTAGGGTTTCTATTCGAATAAGGTTTATTCATTCATTTTTTATTATTATAAATTCGAGTATTCGAATAAAAATTTTAATTTGAGTAAATTTTTTAAATCAAATAAATTTTTTAATTCGAATAAAATTAATAATTCGAGCGAGTATTATTCAAAATGTCAGATGAAATAGATTCAATGGCCGTGTTAGAAACCTCTATATCACTGTCGGATATATTTTGATAATCATCTTTAAAAAATCATTATTTATAAATTTCCTTTCATAATCAAAAGGTTCACCACAACTATTATTATTATTGCTGTTATTATTATTTACTAATGGCTTATTGTTAATATCACTCCTACTATACATGTTGTCAAATTAATTGGCTTTGACTCAATTCCAGAATCTCTAATTGCGTCAAAAAGGAACCTGATTGAGTCAAGTGATCAATCTATTTCTACCACATATATAATAATAGCAGAAGACTTCTACTATTATCATTTGCCACCATTATTATTATTTAAAGGTCACGATTACTTTTATTCTGCTACGAATATTATGGTTTTTTGGGGAGGGGGCAAATGAATGGTAGATTTTTTTCTTTTTGTCAATTCTAAGTAGTGAACGAATGTTAAGAGAAAGTGTTTTTTATCATTGTGCAAAAAAAAAAAATATATATCAGTCAGTTGACATCACTAGTTCTAGAGTGAGGATTCTATCGTGGATTTGAATACATGGAATGAAAACGTTTTGTTGCATGATTCTTTTCTTATATCAAGTGTTTTTACTTATGTTCAGTGTTTTTACTTATGTTCAGTGTTTTTACTTACGCCAAGGGCTTTTATTTTAGTTAAATCGTCAAATGCCCTGGCGAGAAGTTGCCTTTAGTCAATATTTAGTTACGTCAATGACTAAAGTCAAAAGTTTCATCATATATCATTAGTTATAAAGGAATGAATGTCCAAGAAACATAATATGAAAATAAAAATACATGTATTTTCTTGGGATTGAGTGATAAAACTATCAATATATAAATATAAGATAAATATAATAAAGGATATACAAAAGTAGAGTATGATTTATATTTACCAAAATGTTTATCAGAGAATACCGCAAAAACCATGTTTATATCAATTGCGAGAGTTTTTACATTATTTTTATCCGTAGTTTTTTCTATTAACTATTAATAATAATGAAGAAAATACTTACAATCCCTTATTTATAAAATGAAAATCAACAGTTAATATTTTTTCAAAAGCAATGGGTCATAATAATAACAATGATGAAGATGCTTGCTGTCTATTTATTATTTAAAATAAAAATGTAAATTAACAGTAAATATTTAAAACAATAATACCAATAATAATGACCAAAAATACATCATTATTTTAAGAAAAATGAAAATCAACGGTTAATATTTTTCAAGAAGAATACTGGCTGCAATAGTAATAACAAATGAAATACTTACATTTCTCCAGGCTATGGCCAATTTGATTAATGTCATCAATTGGTTTTGCTAAAGCAACAACAGCAAAGATAATCAAAAAGAGAAGAAAAGTATTGAATTTTATTTTGATTGCTCAGTCAGTTTTTATTTTTTATTTTTCAAATCATATAAAATTGAAAGCGAGTAGAGTTTTGGTTTTTTCAGTTTAGAATTAAAGATGTTTTTCACGATCTGTAATCTCAGCTTTTATTTACAGATAAATGAATCCTTTTGCACACAAAAAACTAAATTACTCAACAGATACACAACATAATTAAATAAAACTAGAGGAATGCTTTATGACAATGACCTCGCCACTGTTGTTATTTGTTAATTATTGTTTGGATATCCAAGTTATAATGAATGGTTGGTTGTTTGAATTACAAATAATTAAGATGTACATTATAGAAATTCCAAGAAAAATTTCTGACCTTCGGCAAAGTTGAATATTTTTGTTGTGATGCTGAAGAGTGATGTGATGAAGGTTTTGCTATATCATAATTATAAAGGGTTTCTTTAGTTGTTTTTGTTATAATTTTGTTGCAATAAATATATATAAATCTAAATATAATATAATATAATAAATATTTGAAATTTTCTTAATTAAAGAATGATTTATATTGTAGATAATTATTTTGGGATGGCTCAACAAATTTTTGATCATCTAAATTTCACAAGCAGGTAGAGGTTCAAATCAAATTATACAGAGATTGTTAATAGTGTTAGCTCTACATATAAAATAAAGAAGGGTAACTTTTGAAGTTACTCCCAAATTTTTCTTCTCAAAAAAAGGTAGCCAGTGCATGAACATAACCAAGTCTTTATCAATGCCATTGTCTAAAGCAATTACAGGTAGATAAAGAATAGAGAGGTTAATTCGTGATTCGTGAAACATCTGCAAAGTTTTCATAACAGAATTTGGCACAAATTTTTGCAGATCACTAATTAAATTTTTTGGACTCCAACTTTCACCCCCAACGTAACTACCACCCTTTATGTTGATATAAATTAAAATTGTACTTTTAATACATGATATGAATTTCGAAGTTTAAATATACAAATTTTCAAAGGGACTTTCTTATAAAATATTTTATGTTTATATGTAGGAATCGCTGGAT